ACCTGTTCTGCTGTCAGAAACCCTTATTCACTGGGCAATGAACTAGTCCTTGTCCTCCCTCCTTGGGATATTCTCAGCACACACTGGTACTGTTCACAGGATGATTTTTGCACATTATGTGCATTACAGTAAGTAAAAGTACGAATGAGGCATCCAGACTCCCAATATAACACTGGAGAACACTGGAAAGTGTGGAAAGGTGACACTTAACCTTCTCTCTGAAGACCTGAGCATGTTTATTCTTTTAGAATGTGGTGGTGCTACTCACCCTCCTTATACTGCAGGTCATCAGCGTCTGGGTCCCCTCCTGTGGGATGGGAGGACTGGTTTCAACCCTTCCTCATCCTGCGAGGTTTATCTTGAATAAATTCACCATTTTCAAGTCAGAACTTTAATGGCAAGGCATTTGACTGCTCAGGGAAGCAGCCACACTTGCTGTCCCTATCGAAACTGTGCCAATTTGGAACAGGGAAGCAGGACTAGAGGGATGGTGGTGTAGCCAGTGTCTGCATCCCACAGGGCCATGAGCTCAGCTAGCAGACATGCAGTGTGGGTTGCTGCCTCTGTTTCCACTATTTTTATGACAGCTGACCTAAAAACTTTGCTAGTTCAAATACAAAAGGTCCCTCAGGGCATGAGGAGCAATACCAAAGACCTTTCTTCCAGCAGGGTGCCTCACCTTTGCAGCTGCAGACTCAGAAATGTGCTTGTGGCATTTTTACCCTTTGCAGATCTTGGAGATTTCTAACTCTTGGATCTACCCTTCATACTTCCCCTGAATTTTCTATCAAGTCACAGGAGGTGACTTGAGTAGTGTAGCAGTGGTAGGGAGCCAAGGATTTACACCCTCATGTGAATAGGCATCTCCTTCTCTCTCCACAGGCTGTATTATCTCCAGTGCAGTAGGAGAGGCCCATAGTGGTGCAGCTCTTCCCTGACTAAAATAGGGTTGACCTTCTGCTCTTTGCCTAGAAACTGGTAAAACTGCACTGAGGATGTGCTTGGTCCTGGGTGCACGTAGAGAGCGATGCCCAGGGGGACCCTTTGGCACCTCTTGGGCTCAAGTGAATTGCATTCTCCATGGGCTCTGCATGGGCTGTAAAAGGAACTGATATTCTTCAGAGTTAGGCACCCACTTTTCAGACATCAAAGGTAAAACAAGTGAATCACACATAGTGTGATTTGTTGCATTTTAAGCAGAAAACCTGTGTCCCAGGTCCAAGTATAATCATGGTTTGTTTTGGGTTTTTTTCCATGAGAAAATCACCACATGTTTATAAATTGCTCTTTGCCAAATTACTTGTTCTTAAAAAGAATTACACCATAATAAGCTGCATCATTAAAAAGAAATTTTTCTGTGAGCAGCAGAGTCTGGTTTCCTGCGGTTTGGTGCCTCATGGTGGGATTATGTTGCGTCTAATGAGGAGCACTCTGGCTGAAGCCTTTTCTCCTGTTCATAAAGACACTGTCTCATGTGGGTTCGCTGGTGTCTATAATACATTTGGGATCAAACTGCCATTGTTTAGGTTCTCTCTTGTCTGCCAATGTAATACTGCCCACGTGGCAACCTGTTCCTCCCTGGAGACGTGCAAGGGTCACACTTCTCTACCCTAATGCCTCTTCTCATAAAAATGATTGAAAATTAAAGCATTTGAGATTTCTATCCCACAGTTCAGGTGGACTGAAATTGGCCAACAGGCTAAAAGATAATTGAGAATAATACTGGACTGGCATAACAATATAATAAACCTAATTTTATTAGGTAATCGGGCAATAAATGATGGAAAGTAAATAGTGGAGCAGATTAAACATGGGAAAAAATGTTCATAAATATTTATTCAAGCATTTAAATACACTCAAGGTGACCATTTTATGCTCATTTTGCATGTCAATTTTAGTGTTTCAATTCACAGTCATATGAATCACCAACAAGGGCATAGACACCCCATTAGTTACATTCATACCTTAAAAGTAAGAATGAAATAATAGTTTCCTCTGAGACTTTTTTTTTTACAGTGACAGAGAATTATTAAACGTTTATTTAAAAATACTACAAATTTAGAGTTTAGAATCAGGAATGTTGAATAATTCAGAAACCACATTTTGAAGATAATTCTCACCTAGTCAGAGAATAAAGATACGTCGTATGGTTTGTGCTGGATTTCAGAATTTTCAATAAACCCGAAATGAACAAAGTCAGACCAGAAATTCTTTGCCGAAGTGGTTCATAGAAATGTTTCAGAAACATGAGATGTGAAAGAGAATTCACAATTATTTGTGCACATACACACAAAATCACAAATTAAGGAAAGAAAAAAGATACATTGAATAAATTGCTCATTGTAATTTATATTCCTAGTTCCTAAGCCATAGAAAAGTGTTTGTCATAAAGAGGTTTTTGAAGATATTTTTATTTTCTTACCTTGGATTTAGTTTAGATGGATGAGCTACCATTGCTCTCCATGCTTATCAAATTAGGAGAATGCATTTCTAAATTCAATTACATCCTCAGTGGAAATGGTTTCTCTGACTCTGGTAATCTTTGGAGAAGAATTATACACAGTCTATAAAGCTTCACATTTCAAAACCTAATTTTGAATGTTATTCAAGAGGTTAATTTAAGATTCATCTTCCAAAAGGGGAGTTAAATAAAACTGATAGAAGGCTGGAACTCATGGAGTGGTTGAGAGGTTTATCAGCATGTGAGTATGAGTTCATTAGTTTTAATTAGTATAATCACTAATGTTGCATTAACAGTTTGGTGAGAGAAAGTAATTGCTCACACCCACTGTATTAGATTGGGAGATTAGAATTCATTTTATGAGGCAATTAGCATTTCAGGGATTTTTTTTTTTTAAAGGCTTTTATGATCTGCCATTGCAGTAGCCTCCTTCACCAAAAAAGAGTTTAAATTAACCATAACTTTCATGCTAATGGGGTGCAAAAATTAATGCAGAATTAAGTGTGAACCAGCAATCCCACTGTGATAAGCAGGCAGCTAATGCCACAAACCTTGATGAGTTTATAATGACCTGTTTTATTTCCCAGACAGTGGTAGTCATTTATCTGTCCTCAATTCATTGTGTTCCTGGAAAGTTTATGTTCTTGAATTTTACACAGCAAAACAAATAAAAAATAAGGAAGGGAAAAGTAGAACTATACTATTGAAGTAATAATTTTCCAAAGAAAAAGGACGTTTCAATAATAAAGCTTAACTAGTCCATTATTCGTAATATCAAATGCCAGAGGAAGAAGAAACAGCTCCCTTTGATATCCAGTGCCTTGGGAGGAAAAATGAATTTCACAGCAGCAGCAATCACAACCTTTCTCTGCCCATCACATTCCTGGACAGCTACTGACAAAATGAGAATGGAGATCCAAGACTTGTCATCCTGGTTGGCAAGGAAGCCTTGGTCATCTGAGAGTTAGGACAATTCACCCAAGTAATTGCCTTCCAAAACATCCTGGAAAGCAAATGTGCATATTCTGGTGGGAATAACTGCTTGCAGCAAGGCTGTAATGAAAGACATCATGATATCCATAAAGAGATGAGAAATACACCATTTGCAACAAATTTAGCACCCATTTTATGGGATTATGCTTGCCCCTGATTAAAAGAAATCTCTGTTTAAAAAATAACTGAATGATACCCAAATCTGCTATGGCTTGGATGTGGTATGGAGGAGAACAACTGTTAGATGTTAGAACTACAATGTAGTTCCTGAAATTTTGGGTACATATATTAAAATGAGTGGGTGTGGGGCAGTATTTGGGGATTTCATGAATCTTCCTAAAACACATGTTAAAGCGAAATGTACATATATATGTATGTACTCTTATAGGAGACATTAACGGATATCTATGAGACACGCTCTTACAAGAGGGGTTCAAAGACAAAAACTTATTAAAATTAGGTACAGCTAAAAATTAGGTACAACTAGACAGACTGGATTTCAGTTTCTCTGGCATCAGCTGGTGTCACCTTTAGAATGTGAATTACTCCAACTGAGGTCTGAATCCTCCACTGTAAGGGCTGCTGCACCCTGCAGACTGTGGAGGAAGTCCAAGATCGCTTGGTTGGCTGAAGAAAATGCTGAAGTAAATGCTTAAAATTGGGTAGGATGAATCATGGCCAGCATGTTTGTGCCTTAGGGTTTGTCTATGCACAGAGTTATTGTGGAGAGCCATTACTCTTCCTGAATAGCATTACTTGTGAATACACTTTTGGTTGAATAAGACTTATTTCTCTTCAACAACACGCACTTGACAGAGGCAGAGCAATTTGCTTTCTAGTCCTCATGTGGAAACCTTCTGCAAGAGCTACTGCCTTCTTAGTGAGCTGCCCTACCTTAATCCAAATTTACTTTATTGCAAAAATGCCCTAAATTTGACATCTATTCACCTTTGAGAGCAATTTAAGATTTATGGAGGTAAGTGCATCAATTAGGCACAAATATATTGGCAAAAAAAAAAAAAAAAAAAAAAGAGTATCATATACAATAAAAACCTGACTTTTATTTCACAAATTATGGATGTTATAAAGCTTATTGTTTCAGGAATAGTGCCTGTATTTGCCCATATGTTTCATTAAAGAATAATAATGCCATACATATTTCATTTCCTTGTTCTGAGCAGCAAAAGCCTTAACAATATAAAATGCCCCATGCTGTCTTTGCTTTGTTGGGTTTTTTTTTCTTTTAATCAGATTTTTCCCCCTGAACTAATGAAATTGCTCTTTAAACACATACATCATTTTCATTTGAAGTGACTTACCATGACTCAAATGGTTTCTCTCTTCTCCTGGAGAAAAAGGCACCTTTTGTTGTGCAGATCCAGGTCAGAATTGCCTCTGATCTCCGGAGTGCTGAGTTCCCTGCAGTCCCACCAGTGCTGTTTTAGGTGGAGTATTAGGTGACTGATGTCTGCAGGGTCTGCACCTTGCATATCTGCACTGATTCTCGGTCCACCTGCTATCACATGTAATTTCTCTCTTCTCGTAGTATGCACCGACCCTCTGTGCAACTGCGCAGACATCCACGGAGCAAGGCATCCTTCCTCCCTGCCATCATCATGAAGCAGTGCACGACCCCCAGCTGGTTCCCTGCATGTGCCCGCTCTTTTCCTGCCCATGGGAAGGGCACCTGGAGGTGGTGGTGTCCCACCTGAGGCAGACCCATCACATCAACATCCTTCAGGGTGCAGAGATTGTCTTCCTGGCCACGGACATGCACCTGCCCGCACCCACAGACTGGATCATCATGCACTCTTGCCTTGGCCACCAGTTTTTGCTGGTCCTCAGGAAGCAGGAGAAGTATGAAGGCCACCCGCAGTTCTTCGCCACGATGATGCTGATCGGCACACCGACCCAAGCCGACAACTTCACCTACCGGCTGGAGCTCAACAGGAACCAGAGGCGCCTTAAGTGGGAGGCGACCCCCAGGTCGGTACTGGAGTGTGTGGACTCTGTCATTTCGGATGGGGATTGCCTTGTGCTGAACACTTCCCTGGCTCAACTCTTTTCCGACAACGGAAGCCTAGCGATAGGAATTGCAATAACGACCAGCAAAGTTCACAACTCCGAAGCTGAAATGTGAGGGGGAAGAGGAGCAGGAGGAGAAACAACAGCAACAACAGTGGTGCTCTAGCTGCCTTGTGAGAGCCAGAACTTGCAGACTTTTCGGGGGGGTCTCAGGTCTTTTATGGTATTTAGTACTCGTCCACAGTGGGCATTATGTAAACATCCCGTGGTTACGGTCTCTGTGTAATGTATTTACCATTTTGTTAATACAATTTTATTATAAATTTTAAAGAGGCTAATCAATTTCTTGTAGCCCTCCAGCAGCACTGACAACGACACATGTTAATGAGAAGTACACCCAGGGTGGCTCACAGAAACCTTTGCTCTGAGAATGCTATGCAAAATATGTTTCCTCCATCACCTGCCTAATTGACTGGAGGCCCCTGTGCCTGATGAAAGGTCAAGTATTCCACTAAGGGACAAGAGCACCCAGGTTTCCATATCAGCAATAGTGATTTAACTCTTGTACTCTGGTCACAACCAAGCCCTGTAGGAGCCCGCAGTTTCACAGCTCCCTTCAGCTTCTGAGGGAACAACTTCCCCACTCGAACACTGAAAGCTTCAGAAAAAGAAGTCACCACCTCTACTAAGCAAGGGCCTGGGAAGCCTCATCCTGCATTAAATTTAGGACAGCTAGTGGGTGGTCACAGTGAGCACGGTTAAATATCACTCTTGTATCATACAGGGTAGCGAGAGGTTGCTAGGTGGTCTGGCTACAGTAGTGAAATAACCATAACCAGTCATTTGGGCATTCATCTTCTTAGCTGCTATTTCTTTAGGCATCCAAAAAGCAATTTTCAGAAAATAAAGTATAAGAACAGTCCTAAGCTCAGCACCGATCTTGCTGTGGAATTCTGTGCCCCTTAAACCCACAGGTTGTGCTGCTAAATATTGATTTAAAACATTATAGACATGAGATTCAAAACACACTCCTTAAAAAAAAAAACACCACCTATTTTTTTCCTTCCATACATTTTGGGGGCAAGGGAAGAGTGATGGTCCCCTTCTTCTGCTGAGGGTGTTTTACAAACAGTGATGATCATAGACATGGGCTTCTCTAAGAACATCTTCCTTGGATGGCTCCTTGGGGAGAGCTGGAGGCAGGAACTGGCCACTCAGTTCCATCTGCAGTAAGGCCTGTTTCCTCCATAGCTAACAACAACAGAGAAATCCCACTGCAGAAGGTGACATGTTGAAGGAGGGACCTCTACAGGAATTGTGACACATGAGAAGCATGGGAAACTGTCTTTTCCTGTTTTCCCTTCTGCCTGTGTGTGGCTGTGGTCTGGCTGCTCCTGAATGCTTTGTCAAGAAACATCTGGTCGGTTGGGTCAGTTAGTAGCTAGAGACACTGAGGGTCATAGCTTGACTTCCTTGGAAAGCCAAGGAAGGGGGGAAAGCAAGCTAAAAATAGCCCTTCAGTGCTTCAAAATGCATCTCACTGTAGCTAACTTTGGGTAGGCAAGAATACTGATGCTGATCTCTCCCACCTGTTGCTCTCCTGAGAATTATTATGAATTATGCATGCAGTGAAATGAATTGAAGTTTTCCTGAGATGAATGCCATGCAGGCAATATCTTCTGAGACATAGATGCACATCAACCCCCTTACCTGGACTTTCATAGCAGGTCAGAGAGGAGCTAGGGTCTCTTCAACAGCCTGCTCGTGACCACACAAGCTGAGGTCCAAAGAAGTCTCACGGTCCCTGTAAGAATACGCTGGAGTACAGCTACACATTTATCCCACCTCTGAATTCAGATGGCCAGGGAGGGACATGCTGATTTGCAGTGCTACACTGGAACATGCAGGTTTCAGAGCAGCTTGCTTTTCCCCCGCGATGTTAAATATTCAGAACCAGCAAATGCTGCCCTTTCCTTAACTGATAGCAATAAATAAATCATTGGTGCTTTTGTGGACTGAAACTGGCTTCTCCGGCTCCTTCAGCAAATATTCCGCTGCTAAAATAAAACAAAACAAAAGCAATAAGACCCCAAGAAGAACAGTTCCTCTAGCTTAAGCTTTCTAAGATCTTTGTACACTGGGGTCAAGACCAAGTGTAATAATGCTTTTGTTGTCTGATCACAAGAAGTTCTAGAGGGAGGTATATTTCTTGGTTATTTACTTTTTCCAGACTATTTATTTCTTGTTAGTTGGCACCTTTTGTTTTTGAAATACCTACTTTTTGAACCCAACCAAGTAACCTCCTTGCTTGTCTTGGCTTTCTCCACATCTGCAAAGACCCAGCTCTGGCAGGGATTTCAGAAATCTAGGTTGGAGTACTGCACTAGAGTACTGCACAACATTGGAATACTGACAAAACTCTGTCCAGTGAGATTCCCAGTAAACAAAAGGAGGACACATTTCAGGCAGAAATGAGAGATGGGTGCCTAAAACCAGCCTTTGTAAGCATCTCAACATGAAGCTCAAATGTTTAAGGATGTATTTAAGGACTTTCTACTAAAGAAGGCATTCTAATTCTGTCGTAATTCAAAGCCTATGAGTAACCTTATACTGTCATAAAGCAAAGGTGAAGCAAATATTTTGCATAATAGGACATAAATCCAAAACGCTGGAAATAGGATCAGCAGTGAAGTTCAATTTGCACACACTCTTTAAGTGCCCATAAGATAGCGCTTTTTACAGCTCTCTGCTTATGGTTGAAAGGTAGCTTGGTTTCCTAAATTTGGCTGTAATCAGGGCTTCTAGAATTCACCTTGTACTCTAGTTTTTACATCTTTGTAATGTATTAAACCAAATCACTCTTAATTTCTTCCTTCCTGTGAAGAACACAACCTTACATGTCTTTGAAGTAAGGAAGTACCTTTCATTTGGTGCAGGAGAAAATGAGGTCTTGAAAAATTGCTATGCAGCTGTCGCAAAATTCTATTTTCCTACCCACCTGACCTGAGAGTTCCTTTTTCTTTTTTTTTTCACACAGACAAGATATTGGGTTTGGGTTTGATTTTGTTGGTTGGGTTTTTTTAGCCTTTTTCCATATCTCTGTTCAAGGGTGGATTTTCTTTTACTTAGTATAGTAAATTGCAACAATAATTTCATCAGGCTGAGCAAGATGGATTGCTACCAGATCCACTACAAAACCTGCTTTGGTTCTTCTGCACTATCCATCAGGCACCGTGTGAATGTTAATGTCAGATCTGCAGTAAAACAGCATTAGTGCTTTCAGCTCACTTCTATTATGAATTAAGCTCACATGATATATCCATGACTCCTTATAAATCAGCTGAAGCATCCTCAGTCTCATCATCTTGAAGATGACAAAGGATCTTGTGGTGCCAGTGGTAGCTCTAGGGCTTGTTCAGAAGTAGGGCAGTAGTCCTCACTGGACTTGATATCACATTCTCTCCTTCATACCATCCTTTATTAATACAAGCCAGTAAACTACTAAAGAAAGGAGAGATAGTAAATTCATCGACAATAAAGGGACTATAACAAAATGAGCCATTTACAATAACTTGCTGGATACTGCTGCATAGCTCTCTTTTTTGTGCATCAGAGAAACTAAATTCAATTGACAGTACTGTAGTGTAGGTGATTTATCTGTTTTTCTAACCCAACACAGACCTGAAAAACACTGATCGGAGAAGAGTCTGTCAGAATAGACTCAGATGTACTTCTCCAATTGGATCAGAAACACCTCCTCACATGGAAGAGCTGCAGATTCTGAACTGTTCAGGTGCAAGCATAGCTTTTTAATCTTTTTTTTTTTTCTTAATGCAATTAACTCTGCACACTCACGCCATCAGAGTGAGGGGCAGAAAACAAAGATTGCCATGTGTCATCACAAGAACTGTTCACACAGAAAGATGATTCCTCTTCTGCAGAGATGACCCTGAGGAAAACAAGGGGATTTAACAGCAGGTTAGGACACGGCAGCACCTGCGGGCTCCAGAGGTGTTCACATAGAGCTGAGGGCAGAGCTCAATTCCTGCACGGAAATGTTGCCCAACAGAAACCACTTGGAGTGAGGTCACAGCAGGGGCTGTCAGGGAAATAATCAGATCTCCTGAGTTAAGCTCTGTGCCTCTTCACACCAGCACCTTCCTCCCATCAAAAGGGCCTCTCATCTGCTGGGAGCCCTGTCTTTTGGAGCAGTGCAGATGAGCAGATCAGCCGGGTCTGCGTGTGAATGGTCCTGCAAAATGGTGCTGCACAGTGAGTGCAAACACCCAGCCCCATCCTGCCCAAGAGTTCCTTTGGTTTTGGTGGGTGCCCAGCTGCTAGTGATTCCCCCAAGTCCTGACATAGGACAGTTTTGCTGTCTTTCATGTGCATAGCTCCCACCAAGACAGGAAAGAGTTTGTTGAAAACAGTGCAAAAAATCTTTGACAGAACATCACATTAAACCTATATCTCATACCCTTGGTTAGGGCTGCAAGCACTCATTCTTTCTCTCTCCACAAATGCAAAAGACTAACAAAGAGCTTTTTTATCTCCCTTTGGGCTGTGCCGCTCCAGAACACGCATGTGAAGGATCAGTAGGGAGTGATCATCTTCAAGAGAAGGATGAGAGCTAACTTTCATTGCAAAGATAGCTCTTCTTGCAGTACTTTCACAAAAGGATGCCAGGCTCTGAGAAAGACACTAACAAAGCTTATTGGTAGGAAAATGGGAAACACCAATTGCAAAACCTGCCATCCTTTAACCAGAACGAGCTTTATGTCTTCCAGGTACTGGAAATCCTCCTGAGACATTGCCTATCTGAATACACCACTTAATCTTGTAGAAAGCTCCAGGACATAGAGGTTCTTGCTGTTAGAAATTGCATCAAGTAACCTTATTGAAGATAAATGGCTTTGAACTTTCATAGCAACAGTGATGAACTGCTTCAACATCCTCATAGTGCAGACTGAAAAATCAGAGCTTTTAGACAAAGAAACAAACTTATTCAAATGCAAATGTGAGATCTAGGACAGAGTTTTCAGGTGATCTTTAAAGCACTTTTCTTGCTGCTGAGACTGGATGTCTGCATAGCAAGTGATGTGTCCCTGCCAGACAGGTCCTATTGGCTTGAGTTCAAAAAAACTCAGATAATCTTTGTTTCTCTACTGAGGGAGACCACTTTAAAAAGTAAAGCAAACAGTGTAATGTATGAAACAAGTCTGTAAAGGATCTTTCTTTTCAGACCAGACTGCCTGACCATCAGAGCGTGTCGAGAGCACTGCATCTCCTACCTGGTCAGAGTGAAGCCAGATTTGCAAAGACAGACACTTTCTTCATGTCGCAATCCCTGTTTCAACCATTGATGATAACAGCTGTCAGGCAGCTGGCTTGAAGCCTTTGATGGCTTTGAGACTATTTACTAATATCCACTTTCAGGCTGAGACGGTTTAAGGGCATGAGACAACAAGGCTCCACTGCAGCTCTACAAGATTCACTGATGTGAGTCCATGGAAGGGATGCAGGCAAGCCTTACATCTTTGCCTCTGCCTTTCACAGCAGGACCACTAGATACATCCACAAGGATCAGTTTGGGTCTTTCCTAACAAACTGTGCAAATGGCTGGACCACAGAACTGGATGCTACCACTTCTAGAGATGTTCAGTCCAACAGCAGCCAAAATCAATGTGAGTTCCTCCCTTAGCTTTGAGAATTAAAACAGTGTCTTGCACAGAAACATTAGGCCCATTCATATCTCCATCAGATGATTCCTGTTTCAGAATAGAGGTTCCTCTCTGGCTTCTGACAATGACAGTAGACTACGAAACACAGCCAGGTGCTACTGCAACTTCCACAGTAAGGTCCTGATCCAGAGAGAGGTCTCTTGGAACTACAGTAATATAAATGAATAATTGTATAATATATTAACATAAAATAATAGCACAGTGAGGGCTGATGACGTCTTTATAAGTAGCAGATTATACTGATAGAGATCATTACTCAAAATGAGCTTCAGGGAGGCCTGTGTTTTTGCCTTATTGAGATGTGGAAGAAGACATCCAGAAGAGTGACAGTCTCAGAGTTACCCTGATTACTCAAAGAAATGCTGAACTAAATAAAAATCAGCTATAAGAGTCCTGAATGAAATAGAAATATATTACTCTTGCCTCTGGGCAGCTGTTTCTTGTGGCATGTGTCCTTGGAAAAGGAATTCCAGTAGGCAGAGAGGGTCAAACTTCAGCATGTCACTGCCACTGCTCTGTCACTTCCAGAGCTTTCACAAAGAAATACTTAATCAGGGCTGCAAAAAAAAAAAAAAAAAAAGAGTATAAATATCCACTGAATGGTGTGACCTGACTAGTGTGAGAGCTGCCAAGGTGATTTATCCAGTCTCCTCTAGTAAGCCTCCACACGGCTCCTCTGTTGGATTGGCAGAAAATGGGGACGGCCCCAGGTCTGAGGAGGACTGGCTGCATTCCTAGCAGCCTGTAAATTGTTGTTGCTATTGTACAGTGATTATGTGTGATAACTCCCACGATGAAAACCAGTGAAGATTAAACCTGGGCCTTCCAGCAGTGTATGTCTGTACTGGCTGATGCTGACAGCCAGGCTGTGGGTTATGGCAAACTCACTGGCCTTATAGCCTGTTTTCCAGTACTGACATATGTTGACTGGCGGCTGTGACACTGAAAAGTCATGTTGAAAAAATATTTCTGCATGAGATATATCCTTAGTGTACTGAGAGCGAGCACTTAATCATACTGTCTGTGCTGGATTGCACCTCCCCACGCCTCCTGATTGCTCTTCTCTCCGCTGCAAAACTGGATGAACCAGAGCTGAACCATCCATGAAGGTCTCCAGGCCACTGAGGCCTGCAGTGAAGCACCACAGGAGTTTTCATCCTGGAGGTCCCATTGCTGGGCAGAGAGAGAAACACAAAAGAGCACTCAAATACAGAGAAATCTTTGAATATGAACCTTAACTTCATATACTCTCCTGTCCAGAGTGAAACAGAGGATTTATT